CAATTTGCTGGATTATGCCAAACATACCCTTCTCGAATGGACTTCCATTTTCTATCTAATTATGGAAATAATTAGGGTGATAGGGTCCATTAGTGAAGTCACATTGGTTCAAAGGCAGCTCCCACCTCAGTTCTATTCATCACAAAAGCTTGGCAAATTCCCCCATTAGGATGGAGATTTGGCACAGATAAAGTCCAACCAAATTTTATGAAAAAAGTCCAAACTGCTAAATTAAACAAGTTAAATATTGCCGAGCATTTCTATGGTTACAGAGCTTGAAATGACTTTTTTTTCAGTCAGTCACAAAGAAGCAATCCAAGGATCCCTACCTGTTTAGGCCCAAATTCACACAATATGAATAAAGTTACAGATTTCAAAGCTCCAGTACTACTTTCAATGGGTGCAAGAAAGAGAGTTCTGTGTGTTTTGGGAAGGACAGTGAGAAAACAGCTGGGAGAGGCAGAATGATTGTGTATATGTGCATATAATTCTGACAGGCACAAAAATGGAGTGTAAGTGGGCCAAAAAAAGAAATGTGGTACTACAATGTGAGTGGGAAACGGTATCCCTGTTCAGAGGTACACTTCTTATGAAGATGGAATAGGGTCACCAACCTTCAGGTAGTGTCTGGAAATCTCCTGGAATTACAACTGATCTCCAGGCTACAGAGATCAGTTCCCCTGGAGAAAATGGCTGCTTTGGAGAGTAGACCTCTAGGACACAATACCCTGCTGAGGTCCCTCCCATCCTCAAAGCTCCACCCAAAAAATCTCCTTCATTCCCAGCCCTGGCCACCCTAGCATGGGAAGTCCTTCTATCTGTCATGGCCTTCAAGTGATTCTCTATTTCAAGAAATACACAAATCCTAGGATCAGTTAATCTTCACTTAATAGAAGCGTGAAGGTACTTATCTGTTCCTTACTTTCTTTAAAAATTAAGTCATACCCTAACTTCTATGCTATGTGTGTAGTAAAGATGTTACACATTACCTCCGCTTACAAATTAAGCTCCATGCCCCTACACTTGCCTCTGGATTTTCATCCAAACATAGGGCCTATGGAATGTGTCCACACAGAAATTCAACAGTTGCACTTTTTCTGATAACTTGCTGCATACACACAATCTCTCCCTGGAACAGGGTTTCCAGGGGCATTTTGGGCTATGTTGGCAGATCACACTCTGTGGGCAGAAATACTTGCGCCTGCAGAAATGTTAGAGCTGACAAGAACACAATACAATCATATTCAGAGTTACTCCAGTCCAAGTTTATAGATTTCAATGGGTTTAGACTGGAATACCTCTGCATCAGATTGCACAGTGAGTCAAATGTGACTGCACACATTGGGTTGTGTCTAGCAATGTGCAAGCAGAGAAATAAAGGGACTTAGTGCAGTTGTGCTTGTGCAAGATCTTTGTACCCTATATATTACAGGGCCCAGAAATGGGTTGCTGAAGATATTGTGCAAGTAGAAATGCAAGTAGGGATACATTAACTACTGCAGTCTGTTTTTGGTCACATTCTTGGAAGACCTCTAGTGGAAGTAGAAATTTTGTGCTGGATGAAATCCAATGTATTTACGTATTATGTTACCTGGAAGTTACTTGGCTGAACTTACAATTGCTATACTTTGTAGAGCACTATTGTAGGCCATTTCAGGATCAGATCATGTAGCTGAGTGAGATATCTTGGATGGGGGAGGGTTAACACCACAAACTGTTATCCCCTCCCCCTAGTATTGTTGCTAGTACTATCACGGGGCAGAACTATTCATATACTACCTGTAAACTCATTGGGTTGGATCCAAACCAGATTTCTGGTCAGCACCAAAGATACCACAGCTAACATTCAAATCTGTTGGTTTCTATGAGCAGAGTATATGTGTTAAGAAAACAGCCAAATGACAAAACCGCCCACTTGATTCTTTTAATATTGTGTGTCCACACAAGGTTGTTATATCATGTTCAGCAGCCATTACAAGTCAAAAGTAGGGATGTCCAAGACAACTGGCATTCTGGGTGCCAGCTTCTCAAAACCAGAAATTCTTTGCAAAGCCACTATTGACTTGAAGCCCCTATAACCTGGTTGTAGTAGCTTGAAGAGGTGGTGTTTCCAGGTCTCTGTTGCCAACGTCTCTGTTGCCAACCAGCTGGCGAGGGAATTTGTAACAACTGTGCTTCAATGCTTCTGAAGATATTAGCAAGTCTTCTTTAGGTTCAATTGCTGAATATACCACTTCAGCACCTTGGACAGTCTATTAGATCATTCTGCCTTCAAAGGTGCTGACCTTACCAATGTTCCAGGTGGGCAGCAATGTTGTTTTGAAGCAGTAGTACAAAATTAGAGTCCAGTGACACCTTTAAGACCAAAGGTTTAGTCAAGGTATGAGCTTAAGGTATGCCTTGCACACAAAAGCTCATATGTTGAATAAACCTTTGTTGGTCTTAAAGGTGCCACTGGACTCCAATTTTGCATTACCAATGTTCTATCTCTACAGTTCCATGGAAATGAACCAATACAGTGCCACAAGTCATGTTTGAGCAGTACATATTTGCTGGATGGGACTACCTCCACCTCTGTCAGCCCCAATGGTTAGGACAACAATCACAGAAAAATCTGAATCTGAATCAGGTACTCACAACTTACCGTTTGATGTAAAACATCAATGCAGAATCTTTATAATGAAGTTGAAAGAGTCTTTTCACGATTGCCCATGTTATTAGTTTACATTAAGGACTATTTGACTATAAAATGTTAGCTCATGCATCCTATTGTATAGTAGTTCTCTCTTACACTGAACAATATTTGGACTGTTTGCATATAACAATGGAAACTTTTTTGCACACAAATCCCCAAATCTGTACTTTTCAGAACATCATATTATGTTAATATCTTATGCATATATACTATAACATCCATAATCTGTAGCATTCAAATACATACTTCAGCTATAGTGGACAAAAAGTACTATCATAAGCGAGAAGAGCAGCTAAAAAAATTAGCTCTTCATTCAACATATGAAATTTAGCCCTCTCCCTTGTTCTTCCTGATACTATTTTGCTCCTTTAGGAATGTCAGAGCACAATGGTGACATGACAGAAGCCACAAACAATAGAATCCTCTTTTCTGTGCAACTCTGAGGTACAAAAATCTTTTCTTGAATCCCTGGTCCAAAGGCATCCCCCCCCAAAGAAAACCCCACCTTTGCTGTCTTCTGAACAGAGAGTTTATTGTTCCTAACCCTGCATAGGGAAAAATAGGGCTTTGCCACAGCCCTTAGATATTTTCTTCAACTATGCATCTCTACCACATATTGTTTCTTGAGAGCTGTATATCCAATCCCTGCTGACTTTGGCTTAAGTTGTCAATACCACCTAGCAGTGCTGTCTCCTCTGTACCATAGTGTGTGCTGTAAGGCTTCTTTAGACTTTTCCATCTACCCTTGCTTCAGTTCTGTCTTCTGTCCTTTCCCTCAAGCTGTCTTCTCCTTCACCTGCCTTTTCGCCATATGTTTCTGAATCTATTTAGTAATTGGGTCACTTTCTTTAGCCACTTGGTTCCTTATCACTTAGCTTCTCTTTCCAGTTATCTTCCTATCTCACCATACTATTCTGTCCTGAGCCAGTATAACATTTTAATCACAGTCAAGGATAACTTTCCTTCTCCAAATAAAATTGAAAATGCAAATACATTTGCAGACCCATTGGTTTTGGAAGTTTCACAACAAGAACAAAACAGCGCACAGCTGTCAAGCTGATTCACATAAGGAACAAAAATGATTCCATTATGGAATTTTGTGTTATGCTAGTCTTGAATTTCAGGAGTCAAGCCCCAAAGTCCTCTTCTGTCTATGTGAAAAGCCAGACAGCTCAAATGCATTCACTATTTCATAATAATTGGTGCCCTCCTGTCTGCTTGGATTTTCCTCAGCACCTGTGGGAGCCATTCTGCACTCTGTTAGCATCATACATTAGAATAGAGGAAGAGCTAATTTGCCAGATGGAGAGAATTGATGGCACACCAGCTAGGCACTTCTCCTTCGCGCAAATAAAAGCCGTCCCCTAGCAATACAAGTTGAATAAGAATAACAAACTTGCTCCAGTTTGTCCTGCCCTGCAGGAACTGGTTTTATTCAAGAAACGCCACCATACATAACACAACTTGGTAACAGCCATCTTTAAATATATTTATGAGAACTCTTGCTGCTGTATGTATTTTGCGTTACCACCAAAATACTTCCCTCTTAACAACTTGCATTCCCAAGATTATTTAGAAACAGAGTTTAATGTGAAACATGAAGTGTAAAATAAGGATCCACATGGCCACTGATCTCAATAAAGACCTACAAAAGGGAACTTTAGTGTTAACTGGGTGCTTATACTGTGACAGATGTAGACATTTTGCAATCACAACAACAGGAAAGAGATCAGCTGCCACCACAAAAATGAATTGGTCCATTCCCATAAGCAATCTGTTCAAACTAGTCTTTCTGTGCAGTAATGTACCCTAGTACAGAATCATCTAGGTTTTAAAAAATGCCAATTTTGTGAACCAATGTTTAATTGTGAAATCCATACACTTGCTACTCTAAGTAAAAATGTGAAAATGACCTTTGGACATTTTAGTTGCATCCTTGCATGGTATTGGCAACCACACCCTGGGACAGGCACAAGTTCCCAGCTGAGTAAAATAATGAGTGTGAATCAGTGAGAGCCAGAAGGACAGGCTGGACACACACATTCTTAAAATATGCTGTACAGGTAAGCTAAAAAAAAAAAGAGTTCTCAAACATAGAAGAGTTTTTGTAGTCTAACAATCACATAAAAGTATGAATTCAGCTACAAGCTAACCTTTTTTCTTCTGTTCACTGAAAGGATGAAGCAAAACAGTATTTTACATGCATTGTGTTTCAAAACACTCAAAATTCAGAAACCAAAATGTATGATTATTCTACATTAAGTATCTTGTTAATATTTAACTACTTTGTACCAAAAATATTTACAGCAAGGCAGACAACACTGTCCCCATTATAAAGCTTCAAATCCAAGACCAAATTACATTACGGCTCTTAGGACCTAAGGTTTAGAAAGATGGCGGCATCTTCTTGGAACCAATCAATCCACAAATCTAGCCCCTCAAATAGCATGAGTCTAAATGCTGCACAGACCCTATTCTTACCAGATAGTAAGGTCACACTGGGACTTACAGACATGTTAGTTCACAGGTTACAAGGCCTGTAACAGACCGGTATGAGATAACTGCATGGAGGCCTACAAAGTATGTAAACAGGCCCAGAGTCTGAAATGTTTTTTTCTTTTCTTTTTTTAAGTCAGGTTTTATTGGTTTCATGAAAGAGTACTACAAAGAGAAATAATGGTTTTTTCAATGGTTTACCATTAAGCACATAACCTGATTTTCAGTTTAAGGTAATGGGGGTGCCTTTTCAGTTTTGGGATTGGTTCACTTAAATTGACCACTCCAGTACATATATTAGATGGTGCAACTTTAAGCTGTCACAAACTACTATGGGAATCCGATCCAGTTGCTACTATTACAGAAACTTTCCTAGGCAATAGAATGTTCTAGCTTAATCCATCTCACGCAAACAAGTACCCAGTTATAGCCCAAGATGACTAATACAAACTCTAATATAATAGTGTTTATAAAAGCACAACTGATAACAATCATACTGCAGAAGTGATAACCTTTAGGCTCATCTGCCTGTCTTCAGATCAGCTAATTTTTTTAAATAATCAAACTATCTGTTGGCATGGGCAGCAAAAGATTCTGCATGTAAATTTTATTTAAGTCTGCCCAGTGCAGGGAAGATAGTGTTAATTTTCAAAGGGCAGTAGCCACATTATAACCAAGACAACAAACTAGAAAACAAGTGAAGTATTCTAGATCTCTATACAAACAGTAATGTATACATTCCTAAAACCAGTCAAAGTAAAACCAAATACCCTTTTCAAACTGAACAGCACATACCTTACCTTGAATTAGAAGTCACTGTTTAAGACATTTTGCCTAAATGATTGTTGTTGCTTTGCCATTTTTCTTCCTAAGAACACTAGGTACACACTGTTCTTCACAACTGTTTACACCTATCACCAAAACAATTCAAATCATGTGTTTGGATAAATTAGTCCAAGAACAAGCTATTCAGACACTGCCAACCCACCTGCTGTGGAAAGAGGTAAATACATTCTTTTAAAGCAATCCCAATTTTCCCTCTCCCTATAAAAACATCTCAAAATAGAGATCACACTAAGAAGCTAGTTGCACATTCTTCTACAAGGGGAATTTTGATCACCACAGCTTCCTATAATGAAACATGAATTCCATTTGTGAAAAAGGAAGTTGGTACAATGCCCTTTCTGCATTCATCTTAAACGAGGTGATGTTGAGAGAGTTTAAACTGGAGCAAGCTTATGTTAAAGTGGAATGCAGCATGAAGTTAATTCTCATGAAGTCTTTTTTATTCCTTTTCCTTACTTCAGTCGTATCCAGTTCTGTGCATTAGCAGTCAATGCAGAGCTTCAGTTATCTAACAGCGAAGGTTATGTAGCCCTAGAATGCAATGTCAGCATAACTTTGAAATGAGAAAAAGATGCACTCATGTCAAAAGAATGACAATGCTGAAGGAACTTTTGAGATATCAGAATGACGACACTTTTCCATTTTCTCTCCTCATTCTGAAGCAGTACAGTAAGTCATGCAGTATGTACAACTGTGTTCTAGCAATATTCATAGCTAGTAGATGGCACGTGGATTCTTTGTGCTATAGTAGGCCTCACAAGCAGCAACATAAGCAGATTCTGGGAAGAAGTCATCGTGGTATTCTGCTAAAAACCTGAAAGAGCAGAGCACATATGATTTGCTTTAGAATGTATAATGTGCATTTACAAGTAGGCAATAGTTTAAAATAAAAAAATGCAGACTAAGAAAGTGCAGAACATCAGATTTTTAGAACTGTATTGCCTCATTTCAGTAACTTGTAAAACCATATTGTAGGGCAGCATCTAAAGGTCATTTAAAGGGTGAAAGTAGAATGCAATACATTTATTCCAAATTAGGAATATCTTTTTATAATCCAAATAGTGTGTGCTTCATATCACTTTACCAGGCAAAGAAATTCTTTTCAAGATTATTAATACAGCAATTTTTGGTCATTACCACTAGAGGCCACTGGTGCCAATGAAAACCAAAACCCATTGAGTACAACTTTCTTTTAGGTCCTTCTGCTACAAATACCATTGAAAATGACAGTTCCTAACCCCAGATGCAAAAAATATGGTTCCCAGCATGTTAAACAGAAGAACCTTAAAGAAACTCTTTAGGCAGAATCTCCTACCTTTATACCCTGAAGATGAAGTGATTCTGCCCTGGTTCTCTCTCCCCAACCTATTGGTAAGTTAACAGATTCCCTTGAATGTTAGGGTTGTGAGACAATAGCATCAAGTTACCTTAGAAACAATTCAAAGTGCTTCACTAATGCCTTTAAGTTCTTGTCAGGAAAGCTCATCTTCCCAAGAATCTCTGGAAGCTTTACTGTAAAAGGAAAGGAGAGAAATGATATGGGTTTTCCATCACTTCCACAGTGTTTGAACACAATAAAGGTAAAGGTTTCCCTTGCTCGAAAGCTAGTCAAATCCGACTCTAGGGGGCAGCGCTCATCTCCGTTTCCAAGCCGAGGAGCCATCACTGTCCGAAGACATTTCCATGGTCATGTGACTGGCATGACTAAACGCCGAGGCGCACGGAATGCTGTTACCTTCCCACCAAAGCGGTGCCTATCTACTTGCAATTTTTTGCTTTCGAACTGCTAGGTTGTCAGGAGCTGGGCCAGAGACGGGAGCTCACTCTGTCACGTGGCACTCGGGTCTCGAACTGCCGAACTACAGACCTTCTAGTCTGCAGCTCAGTGTCTTAACCTCTGAGCCACCGCGGCCTCCTTGAACACAATATACCCCTCTAAACACTTTTTCTTCCACCAAAGCAATTTATAGCATTGAACTAACTTCACTTCTCTATTGACACCTACTTGGATCATCATGCATGCTTTCAAAGTTACAGCCTATTTATGCTACAGTAAACTTCGGCAAAGATTTACAGCTGTGATTGGATTGGATCCATTCCAGTCTGGCTTCCGCCCGGGCCACAAGACAGAGATGGTGTTGTTCGCCCTGACAGACGATCTCCACAGACAGCTGGATCAAGGCAGGTCTGCACTGCTGTTGCTGTTTGATCTCACAGCGGCGTTTGACACAGTTGATTATGATCTTCTGACTCACTGCCTCACTGACATAGGAGTTCGGGGGGTAGTTTTAAAGTGGCTCTCCTCGTTTCTCCATGGTTAAGGACAGAAGGTGGCACAGGGAGCGAGGATGTCAGCCAGGTACCCCTTAATATGTGGGGTCCCTCAGGGGGCAGTCCTCCTTCCAATGTTATTCAACGTCTATATGCGCCCCCTTGCCCAGATGGCGTGGAGTTTCAGGTTGGGGTACGCCGATGACCCTCAGCTATATCTGCTACTGGACGGCCGCCCAGATACTGCCCCGCATAACTTGCCTGGGGGGTTGGAGGCTGTGGTGGGATGGTTAAAAAAGGGTTGGCTGAAGCTGAATCCAATTAAGACAGATGTTCTATGGCGGGGGGGGGAGCGCGTCAGGACTGGGGCACAGACTTCCCACGCTTGAAGACTTGGGACCAGTGTATCTTCGGGACCATCTCCTCTGGTATGTCCCCAGGAGAGCATTACGCTCTACTGAGAGCAATTTGCTGGTGATCCCTGGCCCCAAAGATTTTTCGGCCCTGGCTCCAACCTGGTGGAACTCTGCCAAATTCCATCAGGGCCCTGTGGGATTTAATGCAATTCCACAGGGCCTGTAAAGCAGAAATGTTCCGCCAGGCTTTTGGCTGAGGACCGCAACAGTTTCCACCATAGCTGCCACCCCTTTCTTTTCAGCCTCCTCCTTAACCTGCCCATGAGATGGAAGAACACCTGAGCAGGTTTTTAATTAACTTAAATTATGGATGCCATCTGGAGACTGAGTAATTAAGATTAACAGATTGTTGATTTTAATCTGTATTTTGTATGTTTTTAATTTGTTGTAAATCGCCCAGAGCCCTATGTACTCAGGGATGGGGCGATTCAGTAATAATAATAATAATAATAATAATAATAATAATAATAATAATAATAATATGATGCACCATATTTTGGAAGCAAGTACCACTGGACAAAGTAGGGTGCAATTGCAAGTATACATGCATAGGATTTGTTGAACGAATTAAGATTACATGCAAACCCTTTTAGATGTTCAGCGATGCACAGATTTTAAAGAAGAAAATTATATTTTACCAAACATTCGTAGTAAATGTTGAGACCCATAAATGTAAGAGGGTGGTGGTGGTTGATCATCTAGGGGATAGTTCTCTGGCATAAGTTTCCACGACAACACCTGAAGACAAAAAAAGAGAGGGCATTCAAGAATACATGAGTAACAATCATATTCCTGGATAACAGCATTTGGAGATCCTATTAGATATTGGCAAAGAATGCTGTTTTAATTCTTTATGTTACTATTAGAAATTAAATTTTCCAGCTTGGAATCAGGTCAGACAATTTCAAGACACAAAAATGCATTTACACAATATAACAATCAGATATGCAGACGATAACACTCTAATGGCAGAAAGTGAAGAGGACCTCAAGATCCTCTTGCTAAGGGTAAAAGAGGAGAGCGCAAAAGTAGGCTTGAAAACATCAAAAAAACCTAAGGTCATGGCATCCAGCCCCATCACTCCCTGGCAAATAGAAGTCATGGAAGCAGTGATAGACTTCACGTTCCTGGGATCCAAGATCACTGCAGATGGTGACTGCAGCCATGAAATTAAAAGACGCCTGCTCCTTGGGAGGAAAGCGATGGCAAACCTTGACAGCATAATGAAAAGTAGAAACATCACCCTGCCAACAAAAGTCCGTACGGTCAAAGCAATGGTATTCCCAGTAGTACTGTATGGCTGCGAGAGTTGGACTATAAGGAAGGCTGAGCGCTAAAGAATAGATTCTTTTGGATTATGTTGCTGGAGTAGACTCTTGAGAGTCCCCTGGACTGCAAGGAGATCAAATCAGTCAATCCTAAAAGAAATCAAACCTGACTGTTCCCTGGAAGGCCAGATACTTAAGCTGAAGCTCAAATACTTTGGCCACCAAATGAGAAGGGAGCACTCACTGGAGAAGACCCTGATGCTGGGAAAGACTGAAGGCCAAAGAAGACGGGGACGACAAAGGATGAGATGGTTAGACAGTGTTATCAAGGCAACGAACATGAAATTAAGCAAACTCCAGAGCACGACGGAAGACAGGAGTGCCTGGCGTGATGCGGTCGCAAAGAGTCAGACTTGACTATGCGACTGAACAGCAAAAATGTGGAAGAATCTGTGACAATTCCAGAGGGAGGATCTTATTTCCCCATTCCCTTTCCAACTTCCTGCTTTCCCTCTTTCCTCTCCCCTTGCAGTGTCTTAAGCCTCTCTTCTTTTCCTTCTTTCCCATCTTTCTTTTCCTATTTCTCTCCCTTGCTGCCTTCGCCCACCCAATTCACTCACTCAGCCACCTATTTCTGTTTCCCTTCCAAGGTCTCACCTTTCCCTTCTTTTGCTCCTTTCCCAATTTTTTAATTACTTTCAGTCCATCTCTTCCCCCCGCCACCCCCATGTTAACAGATGTTTGGAATCTTTGACAATGTTGTCAGACATTCCTCAAAATGGCCACTCTGTGGTACGTTTTCCAGAAACAATCAGATATTGCTTCTATAATTTGTTCGGTTTTTTTTAAACCTACTTTTTTTAGCATTCCATATTTTTCTGGAAACCTGGGACTATCCTTGGTCTTGTACAAAAATACCCCCAATGTATGGTCCCATTATGAAGATTTTTTTATTTATATCCTGAGGCTCTTGTTCAGAATTACCTAAAAAGTCCTAACCAGCCTGAGCCTAGGACACATGAACAAGTACCTATTTCCACATGTTAAAATCAGCATCAGAGGACAGTCTTTGAGTATTCGTCATTGACAGGGTAGCCTAAGTTGCAACTCCCAGGGGTAGGGCCTTTTCAGTGGTGGTGCCCTGTGAAATTGTCATCCCATGTCTGTGTAACTAGGATCAAGTTTAATGGTTTGTATGCACCAAAACAATATTGTTTCAATGAGCTATATCAGTGAGTTCTAGGAGTGATGATAGCTCTATATTCTGTAACAGGTCTGAATCTTGTTGGAGTTTCCTGGTATTTTATTCCTATTGATAGGTTTTAGCTTGTTTGCAAACTGCCTTGGAAATTAGTTAGAAATTTGGGCTATTAGTATTTTAGATAAAGTTTAGAACTGAAAGTACTGCCAAACCCGAATTCTAACCCCAAAACAATTCTGAGATTTTATTCTGTGTACCTGAACTAATTCTCTTTAACATAAAAAAAGGTGGGTTTCATTGCCTGGAACTGAAGCAAAAGTGTTCATCAGTCCACATAAAAATCTTTTCTGAACTGGTTTTTGGGCAAGGGAATTATTTTAGTTCGGCTTTCTGATTTTAATCCCAATAATACCTGTATTAACAAAGTTTAATTTTTTTATTTTGTTTTCTAAACTAAACCTCTATGGGGTCGGGGGAAGGGAACAACCTAAAACTACGAGTAACAAGAGATCATTAATACATATTTTGAATTAATCGATGTTTCCCTAATATCAAAATGGTAATACATGAGAGTTATTGCAATAAAATTGTAGAGAATAAAGCGAGCATTCAAAAACAGATTTGACCAAAGTGTATGCTTTTTAGCTTAAAGTTATTGATTAATAATAGGTATCAGAGTTACATTAGTATACTTATTTTCTTCCTTTACGTTTCTTTTCAAACTCCCTTTTATTTTTAGGAGGCTTAGGAGCCATAGCCCCTAATTCTGCTTCAGAGTCTAAGGATTCAGCAGACGAGGAGTTCTTAGAACTTTCTTCATTTTCATTGTCTTCTTTTTCTGCATCTTTATCGTCCTCCAATTTCTCAGGTCCATCTTTATCTTGTTGTTGTTGCTCAAAATTTTTTTTGCTTTAAGAACAGAGTCAATCTTTTCTTTCTTCCTGTTGAAGTTGAAAATAATGCCTTCCGGTGTAATTTATCTGTAAGGGGTGTTATGCTTTTGCCATCTCTTTCTCTCTCTCTTAGACAAATATCATTAGCAAACAAATAAATATCATTGGACAAATAAATATCATTATCAATATATATTTTTACCCCTTTTGTTTGTATTTTAGCAGTCTCATTTAATGTTAATAAAAAGCAAATTTGCATATTTTCCAAAAAAAGGGTGTGTAATATTTGTTCATGTCGTGTGGCTCTCAAACATCTGACGCTTATTCTATGTGGCTCTTACGTTAAGCAAGTTTGGCCACCTCTGGATACATGCATATTTCAGGACTGAATTCAGACGGTTATAAACAGGGGCAGCACAAGACCTAAGAATCCTGTGTAGGATTATAAAGGTTTACCTCATTCAATTCATTGTTTCTTCTGCCTTCAAAACCAGCAAATACTGCACTGCCCTCTTTGCTGGGAGTCAAGGTAATGGGCGAAGAGGATCCACTGTGGACAGGGGTTTCTTCAAAATAAAAGCAGAATAATTTTATTCATTGTAATGGGACCACAGTTTTACCTGAATGTCCTCTAGCAACTGGGCTACAGAATCCCCCTGGCCCTTCGATGAAAACTCCAATTTCCAGGGGGATACCACGGTCAACCAAACATGGTGTACAGCAATTCTTGTTTTAGTTACTTCCTACAGGGAGGAACAGTTAGGTGTGCATTCTTGATTCATACTTAAAGGTAAAGGTTTCCCTTGCTCGAAAGCTAGGCAAATCCAACTCTAGGGGGCAGTGCTCATCTCCGTTTCCAAGCCAAAGAGCCAGAGCTGTCCGAAGACATTTCCATGGTCATGTGGCCGGCATGACTAAACGCCGAGGCACACGGAACACTGTAACCTTCCCACCAAAGCAGTACTTATTTATCTACCTGCAATTTCTTGCTTTCAAACGGCTAGGTTGGTAGGAGCTGGGGCCAGAGACGAGAGCTCGCTCTGTCACACGGCACTAGGGTCTCGAATTGCCGAACTACAGATCTTCCAATCTGCAGCTCAGCATCTTAACCTCTGAGCCACCGTGGCCCCTGATTCATACTTGGAATGCAATAATTAAACAAGGTTGCTCTGGGAATAGTGAGATTTAGAAAAGTCTCAAACTAGTCTCAGACTAGGCAATAAGGTTTCAGCAAAGTATCATATAAACCAAATCCAAGTTAGACTAGAAGGAAAAATAGTGTTGCACTTACCTGTAAGTGTTATTCATCAAGTTGTTTTTAGTGCAAGCACACATTGGGACTGCGTAGGTGCAGGCCAGCCACCAGAGGACTTTTCCAGCTATTTCTTCTCTCTTTAGAAGATAAGGGGGGTCCCCCCCTCCCGTGGAGTGAGTCAGTAGCCATTTTCTCACTCAGGTGGTCATGTGCTCTGAAGTGGGGGTTCCCCTTTCCCTCAGTTCTCCTAAGTCACTGTGAGCACTCTGGGAGAAACACCCAAGAGAGCTCAAGGCAGAGCAGGAGGGAGGGAATGTGTGCCTGCGTAGAAGACAACTCAGTGAACAACCATTACAGGTACACTGTTTTCATCTTCGGTCTTCTGTGCAATCCCACATTGGGAGACTATAATGCTACTCACCAAGGAGATGGGGTGATGGCTCTCATTGGAAGAGAGAATGCAGGAACGCATTGCAGACTGAAGTCCTTTCGTGCACTGACATCCACACTGTTTGACAAAAGGATCCAACAATGACCACATTGCTGCTCTGCAGATGTCTGTCAACAGAGCACCACATGTGAAGGCTCCGGAGGCCACTTGAGCTCTGGTGGACTGGACTCTGATGGTCAACAGACACAGCTGCTTGGCTTGATCGTATTCGTACCACCATTTGATGGCCCTTGTGACCCACCTGGAGAAAGCCAGGGAGGAAGCTGCTCTATACTTGGAAGGGCCTGAACAGCATATGAAAAAGCATGCTGACTTTCTAAAAGGCTTTGTTCTATGTACATAATATAATAAAGCCCTTCTGACATTTAATGTGTGAAGGGCCTTTTCAGAGTCTGAAGTTGGAAAGGGGAAAAAAGAACGGTAAAATGATATCCTGTAACAAGTGAAAAAGGGTAATGATCCTGGCCAGGAAGCGTAAACTAGGTCTCAATACAGGAGGATGGCAGTTCTAAGGGCTGCCATCCTCCTGGCTGACATAATAGCCACCAGAAATAGGACCTTCAGAGATACGGCTGCTAAAGAAGAAGTGTCCATAGATTTGAAAGGTGTCAATATTAACTGCATCAACACCCCTGTCAGCAATCATTGGGAGATCATGGGCGTCAATGGGGGAAACATGTTAACCAATCTTTTAAGGAATGGACATGAGAGCTGGTGAGAAAACAGGGGTTTTCCCCCCACCATAACATGGGAAGCAAAGATGGCTGATAAGTGTATCTTCATGGATGACACTGAGAGCCTTGAAATCTTAACAGCTAGCAGATAATCGAAAACTAATGGTAGATGGCAGAAATCAGTGGAAACCCCCTTGGAAGCTGCCCATAGGGGAAAATGCTTCCATTTACCAGCATAAGAAGCTCTGATGGATGGCTTCCCAGGATTAAGGAAGACCCGATTCACCTGATCTGAGAATTTTATATTGATAGATTCAGTAACCAGGTTGTCAGACATGAACTCCCCACCTCATGATGTAACATCAACTCCTTGAGTAACAAATCTGGGATTGTCGGGAAGTGTATAAACCTCCTTTGGGATTCTGACATGAGGGTCTGAAACCATGTTTGTCTTGGCCAAAAGTGGGTTCCTAGGATACACCAGGTCCCCTCATTCTGAACCCTGGCCAACACCCTCATGATCAAAGAGAACGGGGAAAGGTGCCCATTCACCTGAGCTGTAAGGCGACCCCTATTGAGAGATGATCACTCCCTGCCCAGAAGCAAAATAGCATTTGAGGCAAACAGATCTACAGAGGTGCCCCATTGTGCAAATATTGGCAGCATGGATTACATGGCAATGGACTACTCATGCTCCAAAAAGCCAAGGAAGAATACGCCTTCCTGGTAATGGCATCAACTTTTCAGCCCTCTTTGTCAGCAGGGGATGCATGGCTACCTAGGCAATGCCAAACCTGCATTTCTTCTGCTACAAGGGACATTGGGTCTGGGTGCGTAAACAGATATGGGCATCCCTCCTGTTGTACCCTGTAAAGGTTCTCTACCCTTTTAGAAGTGAAGGGGTTGCTGGAAGGTTTCTCCCAGACAGCAGTGTAGATATCCAATATACCTTCCGGCATGAGGAAGGTGATGGTTCCTGGTGAGTCCAAACAGAGCCTTCCTAAGATCTTATCCTTGGGCTTCAGAACAGAAGAGGTCACCTGGATTTCTGGGGACCTGGCCATCCTGATCATCTGTCTAGGGTACAGACGGAGATCCTCATTGGGTGATATCAGATCCGTGCTTCCCACCATTTTGTCAGGAGATGGATTGGATGGCTAACCAGAGATCAGTTCCAACAGGGAAGGTGCGCCCTCCTCCTCAGAATAGTTAAGTGGATACTGCTCAGGAGGGGAACCAAGACAGTCCAGGTTGGTACCAAAGTGTGTGGAGAAGGCCCAGAGGGATGAGCAGGCTTGGTTCTGGAAAACCTAAGGAAATCATCCCATTCCTGCAGGAAGGAGGAAGTGTAATAGAAGGAAAATTGCTGCCAGGGGGAAGAGGGGTGACATAAGGCCAAGGTGCTAGTTGCATAGGCTCTGGGAGCAAGACCGGATCCGAGGAGGCAGAAGCCATTTAGACTTTGCCTTCAGACAATGAGGGGACTGGAGCCTGTAGGTGTGGATATGGTGTTCTAGGAGAAGGTAAGTCCTGTTGAGCAGGTGCCAGAACTGAAGAGGTCAGAATGGCTGGAACCAATAAGGCCACTTTGGGTGGTGAGCGACTCAGAACTGACTGACTCTTCTCACAGTGTTTTTACACAGTGGTTGGTTTTGGCCTTAGCCTTTTGGGGGAGGCTCCAAAACTCACTGAGAACACTCAGGTGATTCAGATCGGTGTGTCTGTTTGGAACGGACCCCGGACGGAACCAATGGCTGATCTGTTAAGCCTGGTAACTTACTGGGGATCATTTACAACTGCTCCACTGAGGCCGAAGCTTTCACTGCCAGGCTTTCGAAGAACGTTAGGGCTTTCTCCCAAAGGCTAGCCTTCAATCCGGCCACTGTGTTGGACCGTGCCTTCCGAGTGAACTGGAAGCACTGTTTGCAATTGCCAGTGTTATGCCCTTCACCATGGCATAGGAGGCAAAGGGAATACCCATTGGAGTAGGTAATTTTCATCCCACATTGGGAACACCTTTTAAATAGCACCTTCTGTGACATTTCTGATGAGAAAGACAATGATTCTGTGAAGAATAACCTAAAAGGAACAGGAAGTCACTCGAACATGTCCTTGCACAGAGCACGTGACCATTTGATGGGAAAACAGCTACTAACTCGCTCCGAGGGGGAAGAGCTCCCCCTTAGCTTCTAAAGAGAAAAGAAAAAGCCAGAAAAATCCTCCAGTGGCTGGCCTGTGCAGATTGTGCACAATGTGAGACTGCACAGATGACCAAAGAGGCACTGTATTTCTTACTTCACACATGAAATAAATTCAGTGAGTGTCAAATATTTGACTCATTACTCAACTTAGTTTATTAGAGTAAGAACAGTGAGTTTGATTTAATCAGCATTTCCATATTTATTGAAAGTATCCATATGAAAGCCTATGCTAGTGTCTTCTTCCCCAAGACTGACCAGTGGATACAGGTGCAAATATTTAATGTCTTTGGTAGTGGCCCAATTCACCAGCTTGTATGTGCTGAGACAATATAGCCAGTTGAATAGTTGAAGAACGGACCATGCTGCTTATAGAGCCAGAGTAAAAATGTAGTACTGTTACAAAGCAAATAGTTATTTCAGCTTCTGACAAGTTATTGCTGCAAAGGAATTTCTTCGCAGCAACTTCTGTAAGACAATCAGTCTGGAGCTAGACATAAAGGATGTATGGCTGCCATCAAGCAAGCAGCTGTCTCTCTCTAGTGCCTAGGAGGAGAACATCTGTGACAGCACAGAGCTGCCTCGCCTGCCTTGTTTGTTGCTGCAAACAAATATGATATTGTCTCATGTGCTTTGCATTATTATAATGTATACAAGAAGAAGAGATAACGGAGGGCTGCTGTTTTCCAACAGCAATTGTACTTATTCCATAATACCTATATCTGGCAGTTGAAGTTTCATGTATCAATACTTAAGATATTTACTGCAGGGTAAAATTTTCAGTCCCACTAATATCTACTTCCATCCACTACATTTACAAATTCAACAGAAATTACTACATCCCCTGCCCCCATCTGTAAAGGCGAAGTATGATAAATTAAAATAGATTTTACTTCCCCACTCCATAAATTTAATGATCTCATTTCGAAACAGCCACTTACTCTTTTCAAGATGCAAAAACAACTTTGGCATTGAAGCAGGAGTCTCAATATTCCGTCGCTTTGGTTGTGGAGAAGCACTACTTTCTGACAGTCTGTCACAATTGGATGTATGACGGGTAGAACGCCTGAGCGACTGCAAGATTTCAGGTTCAGCTTTCCGCCTTTTAGGCGTTGTGGACTCTCCTGCTATCGGTTGGCTGTCTGTGGACTGTGGAGTTGATGGATTCAGAAGAGGTGGACTTGGGGAAAGCTCTTCTTGATTTCTGAGATAGACAATATAAAGGAGGGGGGACTGGGTTGTAAGTTTGTGTAAGTGTGCTTAAAGCAACTATGCAGACAAATTTCTTCCTGTCAAGAAATTGGATCTTTAGTTCAATTTCTTGTTCTTTCATTAAAAACCAGGCCTCATATTAATATCTAGATCTGCAAATGGGTTGAAGAGGCCAAATGGAAAATAACTGTTGGTATTGAAGGGTTGGCAAATCAACCTTGTAAACTTTGGATAACAATTCAGGTATATAGACAAACCATTTGTTTACCAGGACAGGAGCTGGCACCAATGCATCCTTCAATTGGTGCTGTGATTTATACTATACAAGGGATAGGTTAGATTGCAGATAACCCCTCTATCCTGTCATAAAGTGGCCCCCTTCTGTTGCATCTGTTGTAACAGATTTATGTCAACATAATTTCACTGGCATGATTTTTGATTGGGCTAAAAGGCTCAGCTCACTCAAATCTTAGGCCTTAAAAAAAGTTAGCCTTTCTGTTCTTTGTTCATTGCTAGCACAGCTAACATGAGGTACAATGAGTTAACCTCGGAATGGACCAGGCTCTTGCCCTGGCAAAGTGTTCTCTCGACAGAGTGACATGTATTGCTGCGTGACTTCAACCTGGAAGAGTAACATCTGGTAACTATGAATTAATGACCTAATGTGTAGTTAGTATTTTAATTGTAGGTTTTTTTGTTTTAGTTCTCACTGCTAATGTTCTTTTGAAATAGTCTTGCATACCTTAATAAATATGCTTTGATTATACTTGGTGTGTTTTGTGCTTCAAGTGCCTCAATCCTAATTCAGTACCTTAGACCCTTAAGAGTCCACCTACGAGGTTGTTGTAGAAACTCATTCTGCAAGTGGCCTATCTTACAGGGCTGGCTTTCTTGATTAATCCTAGTAAGGTTAGAAGCCATCCTCTTAGATTCTGACTGTGTGGGTAGTAGCAAATACCATAACTGGTGAGTGTGTGGATGCACACCCCAGGGTTTTTGTAATTCTGCGCTCTGCCAGCCAGTACCAAGAATCCCTTGGATTAAGGATTCGTAACACTTGCTTCCAAGGGCTTTTTGTTCATTAACTTCAAATACAAATGCTTATACAATAAAACTTAAATGCACCCCAATTGCACAATTTATTGAAAAACCATCCAGGAAGAATACACTAAAATCCAGAGTACCAAACCTACCTGTTAGTATTTGCTACACTCTCTTTGATTGGAAGAAAGAATTTGGAAGAAGTCACCTTCTTAAATTGGGCTTGCTCATATGGATAGAGTAAAATGACTGGGAGAGTGAAGTCGAAGGTGATTCTTAGCCCATCCACCATTTCTTTACATAACTCAACACTAGAAAATAAAATGGATGATTAAATTAGCCTAGTGTTAATACTCCATAAAGTAGTTGACAGATCTCTGTTAAAAAAAACTCTTTCAACTGAAATGATACTTCATACCAATGTTCCCTCTAAGCTGTGGAGTTTTGTGAGCAAAAATTCTACTTTGTGAGCTACTGGCATTAAAGTTGTGAGCGAGCGATTTGGCTACCAAATACATTAGTTTGCTCTGGAGCCATCCTTCCTGAGCTAAGACGTGTGAGCCAGAGGCTAAAAAACTGTGAGCTAACTCACACTAACTCAGTTTAGAGGGAACATTGCTTCATACCCAACACAAGGTTAACAGAAATTGCCTTTCTTGGCTGCAAACAAGGTTTGGCTGATTAACAGTTCAATTCCCTCAACCGCAGAGGGGCAATCTTTATCACACTGAGCAATCTTGGACTTATCACACTGAACTGTGGAGTCTTGCTGAGTGTTTCTGAAACACAAGATCATAGACAATATGCTTACCCTACTAAGCTCAGGAAAAGGACTAGAATTCACGTTCTGCAGCATTTTTGAAGCACTCAGTGAACAAAACACAACACAATTCAGGAGACATACAAACATCTCTCAAGCCTGGAATTGGCAGAGGGGAGATTGCCCCATAGCTGTGCTTTGAAGGAGCTCCAAGGACCCCAGAAGTACAGCACAACTATGTCAACAACACCCTGCCCTCCACCTCAGCTCTAAGCTTGTGACAAGAACTGGAACTCTTATGCCTGCCAATACTACAAGGATACATTTGAAGCCCTGTAAGTAAGTCTTACAACTTAAGTTATGCATATTGCTTCTGCAGCTAAAGCAAACACAGGACAATGACTGACAGAAGATAATCTAGCCTCTCATTTCAAATATATAGTAGGCATATGGAACCAAAGAAGTTTTTCTTACTTCTTTTCTGGAGGGATATAGTGGAGATTCAGATTGGCGTGTGAAGACATTTGATGGTGTCGAGATCTTTCATTGGCTGAAAAAGCAGCATTAATGGCAAAATGCTTCACATATGACTCCAGGATGGTTATTATATTTGTCTGACATGGCAGTTTCACCAGCTGAAGAAGAGAGTTAATTATTTATCAAACCCAAACAATTTTGCAACTACATACATACATCCACGTGATCAGCTGTGTTGGTCTGAAGCAGAAGAACAAGTTTAGAGTCCAGTGGCACCTTTAAGACCAACAAAGTTTTATTCAAGGTATGAGCTTTCGTGTGCGTGCACACTTTGTTGTTGTTCAGTCGCACAGTCGAGTCCGACTCTTCGCGACCCCATGGACCAGATCACACCACGCCTTCCTGTCTTCCGCTGTCCTCTGAAGTCGGCTCAATTTCATATTCGCTGCATCTATGACACTGTCTAACCATCTCATCCTTTGCCGTCCCTGTCTTCTTTGACCTTCAGTCTTTCCCAGCATCAGGGTCTTCTCCAGTGAGTGCTCCCTTCTCATTTGGTGGCCAAAGTATTTGAGCTTCAGTTTCATTATCTGGCCTTCCAGGGAACAGTCCGGATTGATTCCTTTTAGGATTGACTGATTTGGTCTTCTTGCAGTCCAAGGGACTCTCAAGAGTCTTCTCCAGCACCATAGTTCAAAAGAATCTATTCTTCGGTGTTCGGCCTTCCTTATAGTCCAACTCTGGCAGCCATACATTACTGGGAATACCATTGCTTTGACCATGCGGACTTTTGTTGGCAGGGTGATGTCTCTACTTTTTATCATGTTGTTTAGGTTCGCCATCGCTTTCCTCCAAAGGAGCAGGCATCTTTTAATTTCATGGCTGCTGTCACAGTCTGCGGTGATTTGGGATCCCAGGAACGTGAAGTCTGTCACTACTTCCACGACTTCCCCTTCTATTTGCCAAGGAGTGATGGGGCCGGATGCCATGATCTTAGTTTTTTTGATGTTGAGCTTCAAGCCCACTTTTGCGCTCTCCTCTTTTACTCTGAGCAAGAGGCTCTTTAGATCCTTTTCACTTTCAGCCATTAGAGTGGTATCATCTGCATATCTGAGGTTGTTGATCTTTTCCCCAGCAATCTTAATTCCCGCTTGTGATTCATCCAGGCCAGCATTTCGCATGATGTACTCTGCATATATATTAAATAAGCAAGGTGACAATATACATCCTTGTCGTACTCCTTTTCCTATGCTAAACCAATCAGTTGTTCCATATCCGGTTCTAACTGTTGCTTCTTGACCCTTATACAGGTTTCTCAAGAGACATGTGAGGTGGTCTGGTACTCCCATCTCTTTAAGGACCTGCCATAGTTTGTTGTGATCCACACAGTCAAAGGCTTTAGCATAGTCAATGAAGCAGAAGTAGATATTTTTCTGGTACTCTCTTGCTTTCTCCATAATCCAGCGAATGTTGGCAATTTGATCTCTAGTTCCTCTACCTCTTCGAAACCCAGCTTGTACTTCTGGTAGTTCTCTATCCACGTACTGTTGAAGTCTAGCTTGTAGGATCTTGAGCATGACCTTGCTAGCGTGTGATATGAGTGTAATTGTGCGATAGTATGAACATTCCTTGGCATTGCCCTTCTTTGGGATTGGAATGTATACTGACCTTTTCCAATCCTGTGGCCACTGTTGTGTTTTCCAAATTTGCTGGCAAATTGAGTGCAGCACTTTAACAGCATCATCTTTTAAGACTTTGAATAGCTCAGCTGGGATACCATCACCTCCACTAGGTTTGTTGTTAGTAATGCTTTCTAAGGCCCATTTAACTTCACATTCCAGGATGTCTGGCTCGAGGTCAGTGATTATACTGTCGTGGTTGTCAAGGACATCGAGGTCTTTCTTGTATAGTTCTTCTGTGTACACTTGCATGCATACAAAAGCTCATACCTTGAATAAAACTGTTGGTCTTAAAGGTGCCACTGGACTCTAAATTTGTTCTACATACTTACATGTTTGTATTATTTAAGAAGTGCAAACATTATTATTTTCAAATATAAGCTGGTTGGCAAAGTTTGTTTTAGGAGTGTGTCACAGAGGATGTAAGGGTCTGTGGGGTGCTCCTTTACCCAAGCTTCTTTCTCTACAGAATTGAAACTGCCCCTTCCTTTCAGGCTACTATTTCTGGTAAGGAAGCAAATAGAGAACTAATATAATTACCCAATTAGGGTTAATAGGTTAGTTCTACCAGCCTTGATTCAACACACACACAACCCAAAACTGATGGTTAAATCTTAAAAAATACATCAGGATACACAACCATAGATCTCCCACAATTCTCATCTAGCAGTAGAAAAGAGTACGAATCCAGTAGCACCTTAAAGACTAACAAAAATTGTGGTAGGGCACAAGCCTTTGTGAGTCACTGCTCACTTCTTCAGATACAGCTAGAATGTGAGTCTATCTGTCCTGTCTATTGGGAAGGGGAGTTATTTCAGATGCCAAATGACATCAGGAGGCAAATGACAACAGAAGGTCTTGAGCATCCAACTGGATTGAATCGAGACCTAGGTTTCCTGTTTCACTACTAATGCTGATTTATCCATGCCTATTATGTCTCTGCATATCACACCTAATCCAATCACACCTTCTATTGTTATTTGCCTGCTAATGTCATTTGGCATCCACTTTCCAATATACAGGACAGATGGAGTCATTTTCTAATTGTGTCTGAAGTGAGCAGTGACTCATGAAAGCTCATAACCTACCACAAATTTTGGTAGTCTTTAAGGTGCTCCTGGACTTTTTTCAACTGCTACAGAGAGACTAACCCGTCATGATACAACACGTCTAGTTACTCTTATTTGTTCACAGCTAAAGGCCTCCATGTTTCACAAAATAAACTCAGTGAAACCATGCCTGTCCCCATCTACCTCCTCTTCTTGTATTGACACATTTATTGTAAGCATGACTGCTATAAAGAACTTAACATACTGCCTCTCCTATTCCTCCTGATTTGAGGGATAAAGATTGTGGCTTGGATTCTATATCTTGTTTTTGCCAGTACTCATCTTCGATGTCCAGTGCTAGACACTTCTGCTCACACAAGACTAATGTCTCTTGAGCAGCCAAAAAGTGCCTGTTGCCAGAAGAATGCACTTGGCAGACGTAAATCACTTCTTCAATGCACAAAGAGGAGTGCAGGTGGAAAGAAGGCAAACCAATAACACTCCTACACCAGACAGCATAACAAGCGAATAAAGGCCAAGGTTTCACCTAGTTTTTACTCAGAAAACCTCATGTACTGAAAAGTGTGTACATTCGTTCAATTCTACCAGTTTCAATCCTGTTTATTTATGTGTGCTCCAAATTGCTATCCTAACCTATTAACAATGCAATCCTAAGCAGGTCTACCCAGAATCCTACTCAGGTCTGTTCAATGAGCTTACTCCAAGGAAAGCTTCAATGAGCTTACTCCAAGGAAAGGAATGCACCATAAATTATTTAGTCCAAAGTTTATTATATGGTCAACAGACCTTTCAGTAACTATAAATTATTTAGCAATCAACAAGTTAGAGAAGCTTCTGTCCTATTAGAGGTAGTGAGCAATCGGATCACAGATTAGTACATTTCTTCTGTCTGTAAACTAAGCCTGAGAAGGCATAGAGAAAGTTAGAAGAAAAAAACTACTCCACTTGTTATATTATTTTAAAATGAAACATTCTTACTCCAGTAGTAGAAATTAGCTATTTTAAATTGTTCGTTATCAATCCAGAAACCTCACTAGAATTTCCACAAAGTTTATAGAAGTATGTCCATCACTTATTTTTACCCGTTTTCTCCTGTTAATATAGTAACAATCTTCTTCAAGCTTCTTCTTTAAAATTTCAGGAATTTCAATATTTATTGCTTTTTCTTCCATCTCCCTTTTAGCATGAGTCTCTTGTTCTTCTTTCTTTAAGACAACAAACAAAAATTTTAAGAAAGCTACTAACCCTTTTTGTATACTTTGTTCAGGTACGTAACAAAGCAGACCATTAGAATTTTTAACATTAAGTTACATGAAGTCCCACTTTGTGTATCATATAATCTACTAAAACATAGCTGTTCTAAAGAATGGCATTTACAAAAGCTGCCACAATACAAGGATGGAATTTACCCCAAGCATTTTTACAAGAAAGTTATTAAGGAAATAAATTCAGGTGACTTAGCAAACATTGTTTAAAGCTCCACAGGAAGCCAAAGTTTTTTGGGTTTTTTTTTTTAAAGGAACGACATTCAGTGGAAGCTCCAAACACTATGCCCCTGGCTGAGAGAAAAGGACTAAAAACAATAGACTGGAGGGAGGGGGGGAGGACGGGGTAAAACTGTTAGAGTATGATGGAATATGAAAATGTATAATCAGAACGATAATAATAATAACAATAAAAATATTTATACAACAAAAAAAAGTTTTTGGGGTTTTTTTTAATCCACAGTAAATGCTTATGCAACTCCCATAGTAGGCAGTTTTTTAGTTTGGGCGCAGAGTTTGCTGCTCCAACAGTGTTAATGACTATGACAGTAGCTTTAGGGAAAATGTTGGCCTTGTAAATCTCTAATTATGAGACTCTCCACTATCATTTTGCTTTGCCACCCTATGTGCCTGTCAAGTTTTGGTAACTGCTGATAAAGTGTTCCCTGGCATTTCTTTTCTTCATAAATAGGATCATGCTACAACATACAAACACACCATTTCTGTCTTCTCATCAATGTCACTTTCTTCACTTTTTATTTCTTCATCAGTGCCTTCATCGCTGTCATCAGAAGAACTGCTTATAGCTGTATAAGAAAAAAATGAGTTACTTAACCTGACAAAGAGGTGTAATCCCCAAAACTAGAATTATTCATAGACTAGGAAAAAGGCCCGTTGTGGAAATAAATACAACGGCCTCTAGAAAGAGGCTCTGGGCGGGTGCCCCAGCCTTGGGCACTCAGTGTCAATTTGCTGTGGCGACCTCAGCAGGGTATAATGACAGTGAGTCCACCATTTTCTCCAGAGGAACTGATCTCTGCTACCTAAAGAACAGTTGTAATTTTGAGTGATCTCTAGCCCTCACCTGGAGATTGGCAACTATAGTTCCCCAGAAGGGACTAGTTGGAGGGTGGAGTCTATGGCTTTGTACCTGTCCGAGGTCCCACGCCTCCTGAAACCTCACCCTCTCCAGGCTCCATCCCTCAAATCTCCAGAAATTTCCCACCTGGAGTTGGCAACCCTATCTCCTTCCCAGCTAACCATCAACCTACCTTTATTTCCCCCTCAGTCTTCAGCTTTCCACCCCCACACACACCTGCAGCCTCTCCCATGCTCTGAAGCCCTGACTGCTACACCATATTGGCTGTCATATGGGGCCACCTCAGCAGCATATAAGGATACAGAGCCCACCATTTTCTCCAGGGGAACTGATCTCTGCCATCTGGAAAGCAGTTGTAATTCTGAGGGATCTCCAGCCCTCACCTGGAGATTGGACACATTTTACCTCAGAACAGCAAACTGTTTAGAATGTTAGAGGCAAAAGCCAATCAAGTCGCATATGCAAACGACATCTGTGTTCTGAGGCAAAGGCCAATGAGGCTGCATATGCAAATAACCTCTGTGTTCTGACTGGCTATGGGGGGGGGAGAAGAACAGCAAACTGTTTAGAATGTTGGAGGCAGGACTCAGGCAAAGCAGCCAGTGGATAGGGAGACCCTCTGAATGACAGATCAGAGAGCGAACTGATTTTGGAGCGTGTGGAATGTTCTAGAGAAGTGCCACCACCATTTGGCTTTTATTTATAACGGAGATTGCTTAAAAACAATACTTTTTTTAAAAATGTCAAGTACAGGATTAATTTTAATTACCAAACCCCAGTAAAGGTTTCTTTTTGTGATAAATGCAGAAGCATAAAAACCTATAATGAACAAAGAGCCAAAGTAATATTAGAAAAGGTTACCTCCAACATTTTTCTTTGAAGCAGAATGACCTCAAAATATGTATACCTTAGCACTCAATTTACCAATTCAAGTTTAACCTCACTATTAATTTACCAATTCTGCCAGTTACCTGAATCTTTAGTTCAATCTCATATTTAAAGCTTGCAGCTCAATTGTTCCCTATGTAATCCCCTCTGTAATCTGGTTAACTGGAACTAAGAAGACTGATGGATATAGACAAAGCAAAAAACTTCCAGTTAAAGGTGGTATACAAGAGATTAGACTAAATAAAAGTTAACACTTAAACACTGCATCAGAGTGGATGGAAAATCTCTTTTCTGTTTTAAACACAAAATTGTTAAATCTGTTAAAATTGTTAAATTGGCTTGAAACAATGATAATGATTATAGACATTTACAGTAGTAGCCCTAGCACTATTCATCCCTGCCTATTGTTTCCATCTTCTCATTGACTTTAGATTGTAAAGATCTAATAGGCCAGTCCTACTTTTTTGTTTCTATAACCCTATGAAATGCTGCACACATGGACAGTTCTGTATAAATGATAGCTAAATAATCTGATAAACATGTTTTGTTTACTGGTACACATGGAACATTTCCCCCTTAAAATGGCACACAGAACTCATCTCTTTTTTAGCATTAACTATTAATTTTTAAAATGCTTCCCATTTTAGAATACCTTTAAACAAGCATCGTGACTGTCATAAGCAGAACAAAATACAACTTACATTTTCCACTGCTCTCATCATTCTCAGCAGGAAGGCTTTTCAGCACTGAGTCAACACCAGGCAATCTGCAACGCCCTTTCTTTCCTTTTCTTCTCCTAAAAGAGATTTGGGTCAGGCCATGCAGCACAACATTATTTTGCTACTTTCCTTTAAAGCAATAAAGTAGAAAAATATAGGAAAGTAAACACTTGTATTACTAGATGCCTCCCCTTTCCTGAACAGAAAGGATAACCTATTTCCATGGTGTTTTCTCAGAGTTAACACTAAATCATATTCTTTATGTTTTGGGATTTACAAATTACCCTTCTGTTAAGATAGATGTCTCCCTTCTGTTGGAAATACTCAAAAGCCTCCTTCTAACAACAGTCAGAGTCAGGCATAATGTTGCCTTGCTTCACATATAAAGAGCAGCAGTTGCCAGTCAGCAGCAGTAGCTTCATTTTAAAGGACTAGCTCCAGCTGCAGAAAACAAGATCTCCCCAAACTATGCAAAGTGACCACACTGAAGCTAAAAAGGGGGGGGGATCTGCTCCTCTTAAAAAAAAAAAAGCTGCCTCAGTTGAAGAAACTGGGCTGATAAGAAGCAGAAGCAGAAATGGCGGCCTAAGGACTATGAAATGGTAAGTCACTATCTCTAGTGACTCCCTTCTAAACTGTCCTAACTAATGGAGATCCCTCCTGCCTTCCAAACGTATAGCTCTTCGTTATAAGAACAGTGAATGAACTGAGCCATATTAAGGTACAAGGAACTTTAAATACTAGCAGAATCGAGAGAAAAATCATGTGAGTGTACGGAACAGCAGTTCTTTTCAACAAGAGCCACAACTGTACATATGTATAGTTTATGAAACATATACACAGTTGTGGCTCTTAAGACACTATTATAGAAGTGTGATCATGAATTTCATTGGCTTTAAGTAACGTTTCAGATGTGCAGTGAAAGATTCTTACATGCGAGCCACAGCTTTCCTTGCCAATTTACGTTGTAATCTGCGGTTTTCATCAGTATCGCGAAGAACATGATCTTCGGCTGCCCATCTGTCCCAGCTAGGAATTGAAAAGTACAGCAAAAGGCAGGTATTAAAAATAAAGGAAGATTAGGATGCTATGTATGAAATAAGTAGGATCTGAAATATGTAATACATATTTACATATGGTACTCTTTTATTTTACATTTGTCAGCACCAAGGTTATCATAAGCAGACTTATGGACCTGCATGGCCACATGAGCAGATCAGATGAAGCTGCCTTCTACTGCATTCAGACCATTGGCCTCTCAGGGTCAAGTACTGTATTCTGACTAGCACCAGCTCTTTGGCGTCTTGGGCAGAGGTTTTTCACATCACCTTTAACCTAATCCTTTTAACTGGAGATGCTGGGGATTGAACCTTGGATCTTATGCATGCCAAGCACATGCTCTATCACTGAGTCATGGCCCCTCTCCTATGACCAGCCACTAGTAGAGAGCACACTGTTGGGCAGCAGGAAAAATAGCCATTAGGAAAAGGCACAAGGCTGATGCAGTGGTGACAATTTTATAATTGGTGTAGTCACAGCAGAAACCCCTCCCTATTCATTCACCTTCCCTGCTATAGGGGTGTAGACTTCTTACACCTGGAGTGCTTACAGTCTAACCCAACAATAATCAGGCATGCTAGCACAGCACAACAGGGGGAAGGTTAGTGGGGATTTAGTTAAACCAGATTTTTAAACTATTCAATGTTAAAAATAAATACTAATAAGTAACAAAAGTAACCAGATCACAGAGATACCGTGAATTAAGCACAAATGCAAGATTACCAGATGAACAAAACATTAAATAAAGCAATAGGCTCAGTTGCGTCCTATTACATTGGAGGCGGTCCTTACAGTGCAGTCCTGCTCATCTAGGCAGTATGCCTTGGCTCAGTGGCATATAAGGTAAGCAGGCTTCAGACTGCCACAATTTCATTAAATGAGCTTCATGGATACTCAGTCCCCCATGCATATGACTCCTTTGCACTTTATTGAGCAAATCTCTTCACAAAGTTTTCATAACTCGGAAGAACTTTCATAACTATGCTACAGGTGTTCTCACCTTCTGTTCCAACCATTAAAATGGATCAGATATTCTGGAATCTTTCTTCCTTTCTCATCCTTCCCAATAACAATGTCAACAATCTGAAATCAAAAGCAATTACTGTGAAGTCATGTTAACGATACTCTCAGCAGAGTAATATTCAAATTATTTATACTTTCACAAAATACTGCCTTAAACCAGAGGTTCTAAACTAAGTTATTTATAAATACATTTCTTAAGTTTTCATTTCCAGTCAAAACTACTAATATCATTTCCAAGCAGCCTTGTTAGTATGAGGCTGACAGATAATACCAGGGTTAGAGGCCAATTGCATAAAATGTTAAAAGAAAAATTACAGTTGAGACTGCATTTTTATGAGTGCCCACATTGTTCCCAGTAGGAACCCTATAACTGAACTGAGGTTTGGATTCACTTCATCTAGAGATCAAAAACTTCACCAAAGCCCTTCACAGAAGAATATGCACTGTAGTGGTTGGGGATCATTGAGTAGGTAGCTTTTTATACATCTGTTTTCAAGATGTATTATTAATTACGACATCTCCTGAACTTTTGGAGATAGGGAAGATTAGAAATCCAAAGAAATCAACCTCATATCCAAACCCCAAAATTATAAGCCCTACCAATGTTGTTCCCTATGTACTGCATTAAAGAAAAAAATCCTGCAAAAATGTGAAGGCATGCAACTTTGACACAGAAATATACTACAAATGCACCCTACTTTTAAGAAAGTTCCAATTAAGTAAGCTTGGGGATAGGATTAGGTTAGGTTAATAACATCCAAACCAAAACCATACCACTGGTATCCACAAGGTATCTCATTTAAGGAACTGTTGCACCATTTATACCATCCAGTCACCATAATTGTATAGGAGATGGCAGAAACCACTATAGGAACAACACAGGCTATATAGGCGTATTTTAGCATGAATGTTTTCAGGGGGAACAACCGCACACACAAAAAAAATCCATTTTATTTAAAAAGTAGGCTTTTCCCACACACAGCAGCCAGTCTTGGAAGACAGGGATGCTTAAATGATAGCCTGGTTTTAAAAGCAACATCATAGATCCTCCTCCCCCCGCCCCCCCATTTGGTCACCTTGGTAAACCATTGGAGAATTAAAAAACTGTTGTGGGGGGAGGCAGAGACCAGAATATGGTATGAATACTGGCTAGTTTCAGTACTCAGAGCTTCAGGCCCTAATCCTCAGCCATACAATACATTTTTCAAGTGCTTGGAATAGTTCCATGTATGTTTCACTTTAAAGCCAAGTACCTCCAATAGTCCCCTCCCATACACATGCATTTCTCTTATCAATGTGTTTTGAAATACCGTGCACTCTTCTCCATGTTTCTGAAGCCTATTTAAGTCAGATGTATGAGCTTCAAACAAACCTCATACCGGTATTATTTCGGCAAGAATATTTTCTTTTTACATGCAAGAATAAACACTTTTATTTTTAGTGCAGCTTTTCCAGGCCACCTCAAACAGTACAAAATACACTGATCGCACACTTCTACTTTGCTGTGTCTGCACCAGTATGCTGCAGCCGAGCATGGTTTCCCAGAACATGGACACTCTACAAATTTGCATGTGTACATGAGGAGACTGGTGGAGACCCTTATACAAAGTTATTAGACACTGCCTGATCCACCAAGCACCAGAGGTTAGGGTTGCCAACTGACTACAAAAGGTTGCACGTCAACCTTTCCTTGTGCTTGATTAGCAGGGATCAACAGAGCTTTTCACAGCATCTTACAGCTACAAGCCACCCAAAGTGATAGTGGGATATAATTATGTAGGAATTCAATCATCTCCGTTTTCTTGCCAGATGGTGAAAGACATTCCTCAGCACCAGCTCCAAGTAAATTACTTGTAAGGTTCTCCACACCACATGGCCGAATACACATACTAGGGTGGGATTGACCATTAACCCCACGGGGAAGACTGTCCCACTTGGGGTCACCACCCTGCCAGGACCACCCCGCCCAAGAGAGGGGCGGACGCTGCAGTGGAGGATGGGGCTGCTCTGCCACCGCCCTGCCAGGGAGAGGGTCCGCTCAGCTTCACTTTAGCCGGGCCCCTCCTGCTCTGGGCTGGCCAGGCAGGCGCTCCCCCCCCCCCGCCCTCCTTTGGGAAGCCAGGCCCTTCACGACGGCCCTTTCGGCCACCTCGTCTCCCCCCCACCTCCCCACCCCTCGCGTCGCTCGTGGCCCACAGCGGGAGACAGTCTCCGAAAAGATCCTTCCGCGACCTTTCATGGAAGAGCGCCTGAACAAAGAGGCCGTTTCCGTTAGGATTTGTCAGCGAGCGAGCGAGAAGGCATGCGCGCGGCGGAGGAATCCCCACCTTGGCATCATAGAGCACTTTCGCTTTGGTCGGGTCCGGCTCGAAGCAGAGAACTCGCTCCCCTTTGTGGAATTTAAATTTCATTCCCCGCGAGGTCATTTGTTCATCATGGCGAAAGGGAGACTCGGCCACGCCCCCAACGCCCCGACGGGAGCTCCCAGGACGGCTCGCTCCGCCCACTCCCGTTTCCCCCCGCCTGGTGCTGCTAGCGGTGGCGGAGGGGAAGGTCCGGGCGGCAGGCAGGCAGGCAGGCAGGCAAAGGTGGCGCGCAGTAGGCAGCCTGTCGAGGAGCTCGCTACACCCGTAATCAGTTTAGGGGTTGTCGCAGAGACCTTTGCTTTGCCTACAGGCAGGCGGGGCCCCAGCCAGGAGCGCCGGCCTCGCACCCCGAAAAGAGGAAGGAGGGAGAGACTACCCCGCCAGCCTGCGGGAGGAGGAGCCTGCGACAAGGTGGCTGGATAGGGCGAGGAGAGACCGCTTGGTCCCTTGACGGGCGAGGAGAGAACCCGGGCAGGGTGGCCCCATCCCGTGGCGAAGGCGTCGTCCCGTCTCTCATCGTAGCTGAGGGGGAGCGCTCTGCTCGGCCTCCTCTCTTCTGGCGAGGGACGGGACTGAGCCGCCTGCCTGGCCGCCCTCGCTGCGGTGAGGGATGTGGCCATCCCACCGGGCCCACTTTGCCAGGCGAGCTGGAGTAACCTTGGCCACTTCCGTTGTCAATTTTTATCATTGGTTTGTCCCTATTGCTTCAGGGGTCCCGTCCCCCCCCCCCAATGTGTTTTGCTCTTTCTAGTAGTCCCAGCGGGAGCAAAACACATGTGGGAAAGGGGGGGGGCCGGACCCAAAGCAGTAGTGACAAAAATGACAGTACGGAAGTGGACAACTTGTCCCTTCCGTCAGAGCACTCCCCTTTCGGGGCTGTGGTGGGGGTGTCCCGCGCTTGTCTCCCAGGCTGTTGGCTATAATGGCCAATCCTCCACCGAGCCTCAGTTCTGATAGAGTTTGGTGAAATGTCCTCACTCCTTAGTAAGCAAACATAAGACTGCAGCCTGGCTTCCAGCAAAACAACAAGAATATCAATAAAGTAGTCTCTTACAAATTGGCAGTGTTAGATTTGGTGTTAGATAAAAACAGGTTAAGTAGTTACATTGTTTTGCAAACCCTCCGTTTAATAATGGGCAGTTAGAAAGGTTGGAGCATCCTAATAATAACAGTGGGTTCTGCTTGTGAAAGTTGGTATCATCCATGGTAAATGGAAAGTCTGTGGAGTAAGCTGCATTTATTAGTATTACTTGCTTCTCAGTAAATATGCTTAGGAGTGTGTTTGGCACACTGTTAAACTTAAAGTCAGTTTTTAAAAACAGCCTGTTACAGGAGGCTACATGCCTTGCTGGACCAGCAGAATTGATCAGTGTGCCATTGTCTGCCCTGCAGTAGCAGCACTGCTGTTCAGAGGTACTGGCATTCTACAAAAGAAGCTGACAGATGCCTTAAGAACGTGATCTAAAACTTTTTTGTATTTTAGCTTCCAGCCCCATGAATTCTGGAAAACCACTCTGATGTTATTTTGGTTGGTCTCAATTACGCAGCTTTTGTTTTTGGAGAGGGGTTTTTTACTTTCTGTTCAATGATCCCAAATATGTGCCTACATAAGCTGTTTTCACAAATGATGCTTGAATTGTTCTTCAGTATTTCTTGTATTTGCAATTGCAACATCAAATTACATTGTTTCAGTTTTAAAATTGTTCGCTTCTACTCTCTATTTTCATTAATAACATTAACTGGTGGTATTTCCCAGACTAGAAGCTGTTGCTCATATCCCTCATGAAAACACCAACAGAGATTTAAATAGATTGCTTTAAACGATAAATGACAAGGCACATAAATTGTCATTCCTATGTTTAAAGATTTTAGCCTGGTCTATTTCAACTAGCTAAAGAATATATATTTTGCACTGTCAATGTACTGAGAAAAAATATTTTGCCAAATCCAAAGTACTTAATATGGTGTAGTTCAGAGCGTTCAGTTTTCTTGATCCTACATTTAAAAACGTACTTACTCTTCTGATCATAGTAATCATGTAGCCATGAAACAGTACAGTTTGCATATATCACAATTGGTACAATATTTTTCTGAGGATGAGGCTTTCTGTTAAGAGTCTACTTGGAAATGGGATAAACGGTGAGCACTCAGATTAATTTAAGGAGTGGAGTATGAGAGTAAGCACTCAGATTAATTTAAGGAGTAGAGAAAAGTTTCATTGATATATTTTAATTTAACCAGTAAAAGGAGATAATTTATTAAATTTATATGCCAAATGTACTCGCTATTCCCATTCAAGCCATATGAATATATGTAAATAAAACTTACTTGTTTTCCAGGTATGTTATTTAATGAAGTATAAAATCTTCAGTGCTACCCATGCCAAGATATTTTGTTGTTTACTGTGACTAAAATCCACTGGATAAAAATATGCCTCCAACTCTTCAGGTGAAATAGCAGATTGTGTGCATGCCATTACATATAATGAAGGATTGCTGAGTGTTCGCTGGGCACACAGGTGGTAGGGCTGGTCAAATTGACATCCCCACTCACCCATGGCATGTAAAGTACATGTCTCCAGAGGTACACGATGCTGTCAAAAATTGGCTGTGTTAACTTTCTGCCCTTGCAGATTGCCTACTCTTGCAAGGTGATTGTCTTTCAGTGCCTACATCCATATAACAAGGAGTACTATTCTGAATTCATTGCACTGCCGCTTCATACTAGATTATCTCCCAGTTCTTTCTGGTTGACCTGCTTTGTGGTAAACCGGGGGCCAGGTCTACCCCAGGTTGTGAGAGGTCAGCTAGGGGCAACCTTGTTGATATCTTCAAGCTCCCACTGCAGTAAGTGTGATAGTTTGTACTGCGAGTCTACAGAAGTTCAAGCACTTGTGGAGGATAATAGCCACGCATCCTCCACAGTTGCCTTTGCAGAATGGGAGGACCAGATAACCCCATGGAATTAGTTGGGACAAAAACACCACACCATTTTCTTCCATCCATGGTCTCTTTTATGCAAGCCAGCTCAATTTTTTTCTTTCTGTGACATCTTGGAGAAGCATGCAATTTTGTGCCTTTCTGATCTGGTACTGCACGGTATTGGTGTAGAGGTGGGGCCATTGCATCAACTGGCTATCTGGTAACACCCACCCTTCAACCTACCAACTCCCATTTGCACCAAAACAGTGCATTCATTAAAAGTCTTGCTCCAGGTAAAGATTGCCCCCAGGACCACTAATAAACCCCCCACACCCCCACATTCAATATGCTAGTAATCAAAGGAAAGTCATACAGTAGTCCAGGGCAACAGTCACAATGTGGTGATGTTAGTGTTGTCCAACAGGTAAATAACAGGTGACACTCTTCCTAAACAATGGTTGTTGTTGTTCAGTCGCACAGTCGAGTCCAACTCTTCGCGACCCCATGGACCAGCTCCCGCCAGGCCTTCCTGTCTTCCGCCATCCTCTGAAGTTGGCTCAATTTCATGTTCGCTGCATCTATGACACTGTCTAACCATCTCATCCTTTGCCGTCCCCGTCTTCTTTGACCTTCAATCTTTCCCAGCATCAGGGTCTTCTCCGTGGTAGGCAACCTTTTTTTCGCTCAAGTGGTGGGAAAAAGTTCAACTTCTGCCTGGGAAGATATTAATCTACTAGCAAATAAAATGAGGGGGAAGGGAGATATAATGTACTGGGTTCAGATGCATAGCAAGTGATCAGCTCATATTTATTAGTGAAGTTCAGCTCAACTAAAAGACAAACTAGCTGGGTTCAAACCCTGCTTTTATCCGTGCAGCACCCAACACACACCCCACTCCCATGATTGACTATTTACAGTGTAAGAGTCCATCATAGGTCAACCTTAGGATCCGGGCAGACTTGTTGGTCCCCACTAGGATCAAAGTCAGCTATTGTTCTAAATCCTGAAGGTGCGCTAGACCGCATGGCTTCCTTAGCGCTACGTGCCCAGACATGTCCATATCAGTACATAACAGGAGATGAGGGTTGTACTTGACATGTTTGGAGCAAGCAAAGCCCCACTGGCACTGCCAGCATCTCAGGGATTCGCCTGGGACTTGGTTGATGGCTGCGCAGGTCTGAGAGGTGATGACTGGCATAACCACTGTACTGCTGGCCCCAGCTGTGCGCTGCCACTGCTTCGGTTACTTGGGAGATCTGGCCCTGAGTACCAAGCAAAATGGTCTGGTGTGCGGCTGTTAGCAGCAGGCCAAGGGCTACCTGGCTATGCTGTAAAGCACAACTTTCTTCCTGTTCTGTGGTGTTGACGGGTGCGGGGGAGGTTGGTGCAAATGGGAGTTGGTTATCTCCAGTGTTTCCCAAGCCTGCTTTTATGTGAAGTTGTCAGAAAAACTGCAGCAAAACCCAGATGGCTGCCATCTAGGTTGTGGGAAAGTTTGGATTTGCCTGGTCCTACCCATAAGGCTGCCATTTTCCCCTGCCCTTCGCCCTGCAGTGGCCGGGGTGTATGTGTTAAAATCAGCAGTTGAATACAATCTGCGTAACAGGTTCTTTGAATTTCCAGCTTTTATTTGAAAAAAGTAAGTCTAGTTCCTTTCATTGCGAAGTAAGAGCAAAGTCATATTTCCCCAACAAAAGGGCATTGTGACTTACTTTTTAAAATCAAAGCTGGGAATTTAGAGAACCTGATATTCCTACTTGGCCATGAAGTTTCATAAGGTGGTGCTTGGGAGGGGAGGAGTGACATTTGAAATATGGGATCCTACAATCTGAATTTAATTCAGGTGACATTTGAAATATGGGATCCTACAACCTGAATTTTGTCCCTGAGGCAATTTAACACCTATATGATATCACTGGGAGAGATCACCTGGGGATTTAGCTTAAGGTGCCACATACACGCACACAGATAGATATATGGATATATGACACACAACTCTATCCTTTTTAACCAAGTCAGATGAGACAGTAAATATTCTGCATTTTTGTCTGGACACTTCAATGAGCTGTGTGTGGGCCAATAAAATGAAACTCAATGCAATATAACTTTACAAGCCTCTACATGGTCTGGGAGCAGGGTAACTGAAGGTTTACCTTAT